GTTGCATACAGACCAGAAGCACATGCTTGACAAGCAGATGGCACCTTTGTGAAAAGGAAAAAGCACCCCCTCCTGGAGCCAAGCTCAGCTCAGCCAGTGGCGCTCTGGCTGGAGAGCAACCCCAGCTTGGATGGTGCCCTTGTCCAGTGCACAACATGTTCATCTGTATGTGACAGCCCTGGCCTCTGAACATGCTGAGGATGAGTTTCAAATTAACTCAGCCTGGCCAGAGGTCAGAAATAAAGACGGGAAGGAGAAGGGGAAAGAGGGAAGGAGGGAGAGGAAAGACAAGGGGAGGTGGGGGTGAAGGTGAGAAAAAGAAAATGCAAAAATGACAAAATGCTTGTTATAATTCTTAAGAAAGCAGTAATCTCTCTGCTTACTTGCCCCCAGTCCACTCTAAACCTATATTCTCTAATTAAGCTATGGACTTTTCTTATAATCTTCCATTAGTTAGAACCAACTGATTTTTAGACTTGAATGATGAAGACTCAACTGAAAAAGGGAGATCCATGTGCTTTCTTTAAGCAAAGGAAGTTACCATTTATTTAGGGGAACCACTGTCTAGCCTGGCTATCTATACAGTCTAATTTCAATAATTACCAGCAGTCTTTACTTCGCACATTGCTCAATGTTCTTATAGTACTAATCTCGGTACTGAAAATACTAAAAAAGGAGATAATCTTAGTAATGGATGCTATATTACTTTCAATCTGCTCACTGGGAAGAAATATACTCTACTTAGCCTTTCTCAAAGCTAAACTCCTTTTTAAATTAGAAGCAAAATATTATAGACCTCCACCTATGAAATACTTTCCTATAATTAAAGTGAAAATCATGCTAGATTTATTTCTAATATATTTATAACATCATTAAAAAGACACAAAATAATAAAAGAACCAGCCTGAATACTTGTAATCTCTAAAATTTTGAAGAATTTTGAGTTGAGAATCATATAAATGATAATAAAATGAAAATACAATAAGAACTGTTAACACAATAAAGGATAGAGGGATTCATTAATATACTCTTGAAATACAGAGCTTGTAACTAAGTACCAATGAACAATAATATTTCTCTAAACAAGTTTATTCCCAGGCAGTAATGAACTTCCACAGAACTTCCACAGTGATGAACATGTCCAGAAGTGTCCCTGTTTCTAGTAGCCATTAAAATGCTTTTTTTGAATGTGGCCTGTTAAAAATCCAGTTTGTGAACTCAGAAAACCCTTATGAAGCACATATAAAAATCAAACCATCAAGTAGAAAAGTAGGAATTTTCCCACTCAGGCTCTTCCCTCCTGACATTTTAGAAATACTACTTGAAATGTAGACTTAAGTTTCATGTTCCTAAACCTGCTGAATTCCATTGGCAACCAGTTATGAGATGTATCACAATTGCCATAACACAGCACTTACCTTGAGAGTGAACTTGGTAGAGCAGCAATCAGACTGACCCAGCCAGCCAGAGGTCTGGGTTTTCACTCTGCTCTGTCACTAACTGTAAGGTTAGGTCAAATCACTTGACCTCTCTGTATCTTGGTTTCCTAATCTGGAAACAGTTCTATTTGTGGACAGTATAAAATTAGTAGAGTGATGAGAATCATCAAAATCTGTAGCCTGTCTTGGTAAAGAGAATAATGCATCTGACTAATCCATGATGGTTTTCATTACTATGAAACCATTTTGCTTTTCTTCCTTTGAAATACAGTGAAACCTTGGATTGTGAGTAACTTGGTTTGCAAGTGTTCCGCAAGACGAGCGAACATTTCTAATACATTTTAACTTGGTAAACAAGCGATGTCTTGCAATACGTACAAATAGTTTGTTTCCGGAATGAATTACGCTCGCAAACCAAGGTATTACTGTATATAACAGGCTGGGATATTGTGATGTTAGAAAAAAATACATATTTGGTCTTTTTCTGGGTTCCTGGCATAGGACTTCTAAGAGCCTTGGAGTTTCTTGAGTGATAGGGGTAAAAGGAGCACATTTTGATTCATAACAAGTCCTTTTGAACCATACCAGAATTTACCAGAGTTTACGCTAATGAGGTGACTCTTCGTGGGCCCCCAGATAGCTTAGCATGGGGGCTGGTTGAACAAACCATATGATCAAAGGGTTAGAACTTTTAGCCCCTCCCCTCTGATCTCCAGGATAGAGGGTTGATGAACATCAGGTTAGTCACCAATGGCCAATGACTTAATCAACCAAGACTGCAAAATGGAAACTGCATAAAAATCCTGAAGTATGGGGTTCAGGGAGCATCTGGGTTGGTGACACCACCAGGGAGGACACGGAAGCTGCATCCATGCATGCCTGCCCCCATCCCTTGCCCTATGCTTTTCTGTTTGGCTGTTCCTCAGCTGTATCCTTTAAAATAACCAGTAATAGTAAGTAAATTGTTTTCCTGCATTTTGTGAGCTGTTCTAGCGAATTATCAACCCTGAGGGGTGGGGTTATGGGAACCCTCAATTTATAGCCTATAGTTCACAAGTACAGGTGGCCCAGAATTGTGGTTGGTCTCTGAACTGAAGGGGGTGGTGGTGCGCATTCTGTGGAACTAAGCTCTCACCTGTGGAGTCTTTGCTAACTCCAGGTAGTTAATGTCAGAACTGAACTAGTGCCAGTTGGTGTCTACAGAGAATTAAAGAATGGCTTGGTCTACCAAACCCATACATTTGGTGTCAAAAGTGTTGTGAGTAGAAACAGATTGTAGTGTAGGCTAAGACAATTGTGGGCCTCTCAATAAATTATTTATACATTAATGTAAGTGCATAAAAATATTATAAGCTAGGGAAAATAGTTAATTGGTAATTAAAATGCAATGAGGTGACAAACCGTCAGTGCCAAATAATTCCCAAATAAATGATTTGCTGAAGTCATAAATAACAAGAACTGTATACAACTAAATATTTTCCAGTATACTTACATTGTAGCATAAAGCAAAAATCCCTAGAATTACTGTAGGCATACCTATACTCATCATATCTCCCTCTGCATGCCTCAACTCATTGAGATGATCAAACTCTTTCAAAAATATTTTCATCAACATCCTAGAATACATATTCTAAGATTGCCATCTTCGCAAAAACAACACCATATTCAAGAAGACTTCTTAATTATAAAAGCAAAGGGTACTGGAACGATTTTTCCAACTTCTAACCAGACTTGAAAGACTCCAGAGTTAGGCTAAGTAAAATCATAACAATCTGTTGTAAACTGCTAAGAGGATACTTGTCTGTGTATTCATCCGCATCTTTAGATTTTACTCCTAAGAGCTTTCAGGTATGTAAAGGTCATCCAGTTTATATAAATATGTTAATAAAGGGCTCTTCTATTTAAAAAAAAAAAGCTTAAATGCTTTACTTTGGGATTTGTGTTTCAACTTTCTATATTTGAGGAGGGAGGCTTATCATCGATCCTACAGATTAACCATGGCACCAGCACCAAATGGTAGAAGATATCGGAATTGTCTCAGAAAACAGTAGAAACCTCACCTTTTGGGAAAGTCCTGTTTATAGCTCAAATCCATCTAAGTGGCAGAGGTACAAATGAACAGAAAAAGGGGGTCAAAACTATTGATAACTGGAAATAGGTCCTCTCAATGTACCCATACATTATATCATATACATTAAATGTTTAGTACATAATTATCTCTTGGTGTAATCAATTTTTTGGTTACTTCATCTTTTATATTACCTTGAACCTGTTATCCGCATATATTTTTCTTCTGTTTCTCACTTGCTATTCTAACTTTAACCCAACAATTTAGTTATGGAATCTCTGATTTTCTGGAAGGGGTACAGGGAAGCAGAGAGCTAGCAAAATGGTCTCAAAACTTATTGGAGAACTTTTTGCCTAGGGAAAAACCCCTGTTTAAAATAAATATTCTATTTCACTTGTTCTGTTTTGTTTATGTGGATAAGCATAACTGTTAGAGCTGAGAACACACATTCTGTGAAGTATAAATAGACCACGTTCAAAGTTATATCTGGGGATTATTGAAGGAACCAAACTTAAGCTTTTCTATATTTGGTTGTTCACCGTCATCTTTAAAATGCCCAGAACAGGCTGCTTCCTGTGACCTAAAAGTCTAGATCCACTTTGCCTATTTTGTGGATTAGAAAAGTAGCATCAAAGGACTCACAGACTTGCTCAAGGTCACACAGATCATAAAGGCAAAGCCAGGCTTCTCACCGAGTTTTCCTTCTACCACCAACACAACAGACATTTAGATTTTCTTTTTTCTGAAGACCCTTAAGCATCACATGACAACAAGGAGCGGCTCAGTTTCCAAACCTTAAAGAGGTGTCACTCTACTGCCTTTGAAACAGTGTTCCACAGCAAAGAACCTGGAAATGGAAGTCTGTGGGCCCCATGGAGACAGAAAAAGGCAGAAAGCTTTTCCCTGACACATGTGTATGTTCAATGCCCTAGACTGAAGAACATTCTCGGGTCAAAGCCACTTACCCAAATCTGAAGCTTGATTCGCTTTTCATTTTTGAATACAGTTTTCACTTTGAAATCAATCCCAACTGTACTGACAAACGCAGATGTGAAGGAGTCGTCCGCATAACGGAACAGGAAAGATGTTTTCCCCACACTGCTGTTGCCGATGATGAGCAATTTAAACATGTAGTCAAAGTTCTGATCAGAGGAGTCTTTCTGGCCATACCTGGCATCTTGGGCAGAGGCCATCTGTGGTAAAAAACAAAAGAGGTACGATCAGTCTCCCATTTGATATGAAGCTAGCAGCACGCTCATTATTGGTCTTGCCAGAGACAGATGTCAGACCACTCAGGAGACAAGTAAGAGTGCTCCCCGGTCTTCCTCTGATGCTGGTATCCATGGCAATAATTTCCCGCTGGAAGACAGAACAGCAAATCTTACAGCTCTTTCCAGCTGTGTTAGTGTTTGTCACCGCTCAGCATTCAGAACCAATCAAAGACATCTAGAAGGGTAACATGAAAAGCAAGGATAGGAGGACCTGGCGAGGGCATGTGGGCTCTGAAACTTTATAATCCCAGTGATGGAGACACCAAAGTGTCTGAACAGCAGGGTGTTTCTTACTGAAGTATCTGAATTATGAATCTCTTATTTTTTAGGGAAGCACACCCAAAACATATCTCTTTCACCAATTAATATCACATTATGTCAACATCCAAACATAAATTTATTTCAAATTAAACATAATGATGCCAGCAAATACATATGGTTCGGTGTGCCAGGAATGGTTAATTTATTTAACCCTCACAACAATCCTATGAGGTGGGTCCCTTTATTATTTCCAAATTCAAAGGGGAAAACTGAGGCTTAGAAATATCAAGACTATGCTCGATTTCACACAGGTACTTGAGGCAGGCTTCACATCAGGCAGTGTGGTGCCAGGGCTCATGTTCGTAACCTCCACCCGATTTCCCAGTGAGGACTAGAGAAATACATGCATGCGCTCTGAAAGATGATGTGGGAATACACTGTGAGATTCATCAGTGGAGAGCCCCCTACCTGGATTCAAACCTTGGCTCCACCCCTTACTGGCTGTGTGACCTTGAATTTGTTATTTTAAAATGGAGTACCTCACTTTCCTCTCTTATGTGAAAAAAAATTATTATCTAACTTGGACTTATCTAAGACAACATCATCAGTTGTTGAAGTCAGGGTGTGTGTGTGTGTGTGTGTGTGTGTGTGTGTGTGTGTGTGTGTGTGTTTATAGACCACTGAGGGAAAGGGGAAAAGGGAGATGGTAAGATAACATACTTCCTTTCTACAAATACTTATTGCCTATAAAAGAACACAACTATATATAAAAAAAATATATATATATACATATATATACATATATATACTCACAAAAAGGAAATCTGTATGAAATTTAAGGACAATAAAAGTTCTGATGGTACTTCACACTTTCTTATTAAATATAAGCTTAAGCATTTCTCTTTTTAAGTCCATGTAACCACACCGATGTCTTCAGTAATTACAACTTGTAATAAGTGTTTGTCAGTGGGCAAAATTGGGCCACTAAAACAGGCAGATACAATCACTTTCCTTTCTGGCTCAGGGGTCCACATCATAAGATAAACCCCTGCCCCCCCCCCACACATCCCCAACACAAGCACCAGTCAAGAACAAAAACAGGATTCTAATTCTCAACTATCAGTTTGAACCATGATGTCCTGCTCTGATGACTTTTGATGCCCCAGAGAACCAGGTCAATGCTTTGTTTGGCACTCACATTCCTGCAGATAGTCCTTTCATCAATTAATACTCCCCTCTTATAGAGCTGCTAAGTCCAACCAGGCCTGCAAATGACCTCTATTAAGATCTTTTTACCATCTTTTACATGAACCAGCCCAGATCCTAGGTTAAGAATGTTCAGCTAAGCCCAGTCAGAAAATAGACAGTACAAGTTTCCTAGAGCTGCTCACTTACTCAGCTTGATGACCTACCATAGATTACACCCCACTACCCTAAGGTGGTATTCCCACTGAGTCCTGTGGCTCTCTGGGTTGCCTAAAAAGAAAATATGATACATTTTCTGCTGCTATCAATCCCAAGTCCTATTCCAAAATTAGACTGATTCCAAAACCTGCAGAAATATGGACATCATCAATACCTAGAGGTTTTTGTTTTTTTTTTAATATGATCATGGAGATTTAGATGGGGAAACCATACTGGGATTTTCTTTAGGAGGAGAAATTGAATATGTTCAATTTCAAGGGCTGATACACCTTGTTGTGTAGGCAGCAAAGAAGGTGATGGGAGCACACAGGGAGCCTAGGAGGAGGGAGGGCGGAGCTGCTGGATACGTAAATCTAGAGCTTCTAAAGCAGCGGGTTCTCAACCTGTGGGTCGCGACCCCTTTGGGGGTAGAACGACCCTTTCACAGGGGTCGCCTAAGACCATCAGAAAACAAAAAGATATTTACATTACGATTCATAACAGCAGCAAAATTACAGTTATAGAGTAGCAATGAAAATAATTCTATGGTTGGGGGTCACCACAACATGAGGAACTGTATTAAGGGGTTGCGGCATTAGGAAGGTTGAGAACCGCTGTTCTAAAGGGTTAACTAGAAAAGTTTGCTAACCCACTATTCTGGAAGGTTTTTTTTTAAACTATTCCCTGATTGATATCCCTAATAAGAATCACGGAGAGCCAAAAAGATATGCATTGGGTATGTATATGCGTTTTATCCAAACTTTAGGATAATGAAATAAATGCTGGCTTAGAGGATGGAGAAACAGACGGTGCTAATGCCTTGCTGAGAGCAGAAATGAAGCAATTTGACAGCATATGAATGTTAAAAGGAATTATAAACAGTCGCTATGTAAATTTACTGACACCTCTAAATACTAAGTCATGTGAACATTTTCAAGGAAAAATATAGCTGAAATTTGAAAACATGAGTATGTCCCACAGAGCAAACTGGATTTCATAAAAGATATAAAAGATAATTAGTTAGATTACATTAATTTGAGTTAATTTAAAAAAAGAGAGTCACAGGGTTGGATAGAATCTTCAGGGAAGTTCAACTTCCTTCGCGCCTCAAATCCCTTTTGCAGCACATCAGCATCTCAGGTTAGTATCCCAGCCTAGCCCTTCACACTGGGTGACAGAAAGCTTATTGGGCTGTGAAGCAGTCTATTTCACTGCTGAACAACTGCAATTGTTATAAATTTCTTTCTTAGATTTGAGTTAAAATCTCCTTCCCTATAGCTTCTGCCCATGTGTTTCGGATTCTGCCTTATGAATCAAGAGAGAGTTGATTCCTCTCGCACCTGAGATAACGTCAGGTGTCTTAGGGACCAATCATAGCCCCCTAAGTTTTTTCTCTTGCTGGGATGATCCCAACCACTTTAGCCCCTCTCCCCACACAGGACATGTCCAAAGTACCCCACACATCCTGCTATGTTAAAATGGACATCTCTCCAGATGTCCAAGTCCCATCCCAAAAATGGTCACCGTATTCAAGGTATTTTTCTGGTTAGTACAGAGTAAAATGAGACTATTATATCACTCTTAACAGAAAAGTGTCCTAAAATGCTCAACACTTTTCGCACATTACTTGTTATAAACATAGGTCTCCCTTATTCCTATCCCATACATGGGCAATTTATTTTTTTAATGGAACTGTCAACCATAGATGTATCCTAGTACATTTTCTTTGTTTCTATGTGTAATTTGAATCTGATCTGATATTTTTATGTTCTTTCATCAAAGATATTCATTATCCATTCCATAGTTGTCTCCTAAGTTTGATCAGTATGAATTTAATATATTCATTGAAGACCCTGATCAAAATGCTAATCAGATTGTAGACAAATAATGAACATTTTACCCTGCTGAATATATAAATCTATGGATGAGGCCTCTATACTATGTCATTAAGGAATTCAGAACAAATCCTTAACCTCTGGGAGCTGGTGTCTCGCAAAAGTTCTGTGCTATTCCTCTACGTGTACCTGGGTTCAATAACAGGTGAACAGATCACAGACTTAATTGATCTGACACTTTTAATTCCAATTCTAGTTTACCCAGAATTCCTACTGACCAGGGACCAAACAGATTACCTCTGATTAACATATGTAACCACAGCCTATTTCAGAATTTTTGACATTTGTTTTTCAAAATAAATAGGAAAAGCCAATTATGTTCAAGGATTCCCTTGGGCACTTGAGAATCTAATCTTATCTAAGCCATTTTGTGAATCTGATGAGAAAAACAGAGAAGACATTTTAAATGTATTATATTCCAACTACTACTGATAACACCTTGAGGGTCAGTAGGAGGAAGAACCGAGGGTAAATTATCCAGAAAAGAAACTGCAATTCTTTGAAATTGGGAGGGTGGAAAGTAAGGATGGGACATATGTATCTGACATGTAGAAATACATAAAGTAGTTTCAAATCTCAATTACTGTTACCCGGAGGAAAGGAAAATAATAATAAAAAGAATCATTCCTGAGAGCTCCAACGTAAAGACTATAATTTTAAAACCAAGAAGGAAAACATTAAAAGTTGGATTTGCAAACCTCTGTCATCTGGCCCCCAGGCGGCATCTCCTGGTGCAGGTCCTCCCCTGTGAGCCGTCTGCCGTCTCCGTTTGTCTCTTAGGTGGACTGGAATTGTAATGCTCTTTGCAGTGTCGGGCCCAGCAATTTCTCCATGTGTCTGCTACTGTTTACTCTGGCAAGATCCGGCTGAGGAGCAATAAAGCGCTCCTCATGTCACTGTGGACACATTACCATGAAGCAGAGAGGATGTTGTCCAAGGAACTGGAAGCAGCCAGGGCGCCACAAGACATAACCCAGCCCTGGCTTCTGAAATAAAGGCCTGGAAAAGGAGGGCCGCATGCAGAAATCACGCCTGTCTCTACGTCAGCAGGGAATGCATTACTTTTTTGTTGGGCTCACAGGAGAATGTATATGACGGCATGCCAAATTACGGTAATGCTTCCAAGAGACACGTCGCCATGTCTTCAAGGTCCTCCCCTTAACTTAGATCTCACAGAGCTCCTTTCCGCCTGTCTCTGAATCTCCATTCTCATGCATAGCTTCTTTGGTGGCTGTGGAGAACTCACAGCTTACATACAGTCAAATGGCAAAATAACTGTAACAACAGCTTTCACAGGCACTGTACTGCGTGCTTATTATTATCACACCTAATCCTTTCACTGTCCCCAGATATCACTATGGA